AAAGTTGTCAGCGAACGAAGCATGTTTCACTGTTGGAACATTTTTGGAACCCTTACGCCGAACTGATTGCAGTTCATTTTTGGTTGGCTTCTGGAACCTTCTCCAGGCCATGCGTTCTCAGATGCGGGATTCCCAGGAGGCGTCGACGCAGCTGGTGCTTCCGCCACATTGAATGCTTTTTGTACACACTTCAGAGACTGCCGTACTATGGGGGTTTCCAAAGCCATTTGTTGAATCCTGGTTATAAGGATCTGATCTACTGGTGTCTATGTCCAGGCTTCTTTCTATGAAGACTTCTGATATGGCAACATCTCAGACAAAATGTTCCACACTGCAATGGTCCCGCATGGACCCTAAGCCCTCTTCTCCACCGTAAAGTCCCAGCCTTCACCACAAGAGCGGGTAAAGGGAGGCTCTTCCGATCCTTACTGGCCCGGTTGATGTCAGTGCAATGACGGTTTCAGCGGAGGGTTCTGGGGTCATGAAGCAGGTCTGGATTTTGTTGCTTTCGGGTATCAGGGTCCAAGGCTGAAGGGCCACCAAAGGTACTTCAGCTTTCTCTATTTTGGTGAGTCATAGTTTGCACGCCTTGCTCCATGAACCGTGTGGAATGTCATGTTAATCTCAGGCCCTCGCGGAGCCTGGGGGGGAACTCTCTTGTAGGATTATGGCGTGATGCCTTTTGAAGATACCCCTGTATTCCCGAATACTAACCCGAAACCTTGACTCCAAGCCCCAAAGATCTTCACGTTTGCTGGAGCCAGGCGTCCCAGCTAAGCCAGCTGGAGGCAGCGGCTAGATCTGGGGCATCCAAATTTGGGATGACACGGGTAGGGTCTAGGGTTAACGGCACATCGTCGACTGCTCGCGTACTGCCCACCCCTGGCCTCCCTGGGTTTATTCTATTGGGGTTCAGGGTTTTTTTCTTGGTTCTTAAACACCATTCCCAACACAACTTTCAACAGTTGCAGTTTGCATCATGATGTGGTCTGATCATGATTGAGTTGCTGGCCAAGAGGTTGGGAATGATTTGGTCGATCGTTTTATTAAGGAATGATTTGGCAAAGCAACCTGGCTCAGCGCATTGCGCTTCCAGGCGGTGCTACCTATGGTTACGGTTCGGTGTAGTTGGCGTACGAAAATAAGGGGTGCACCAGATTGCCAGAAGTCAGGACTCAAAAATGCGTTAATTCGAAATCGACCAAAAACACCATTACGATCGCATTGAGCCGGCTGATTGGCATCTACATGATACCGGGATGCCCCAAGAAGCAAAACGGTCGGGGATTCAGCTCAGGGACACATCCGAATGCTGGTTCCCAACATTAACTTTTGCTCAACTACCTACGTCATCACAGGCTTCCTGCCTGGCATCGCTGTGGAAGAAGGAGTGGTAGTGCCACCTGTGGTTGCGCTCTGGAGCCAGACTTGCTGGAACGCTCTTCTTCACGATCGCACTGAGCAAGCTGTTCGGTATGGGCCATGATACCAAACACCCACTAAGCAAAATGTCAGCCGATTCGTCCCAAGGCTCAGCGACGCATTTTGATGCACGTTTCCGATACGAACTGGCGAAAGATTTGGCTAAGTAACCTTCTTCATTATAATCTGCCATTTAGTGACGGCTTGGAGGAAGAACGGGCAGCCCCACTATGGTTGGGGCCCCCAGTATGGTATGGCTGGTGTGGGTTACCTGAAACAAACTTCAAAATGGTTTCGGTAGTAACTTAACTTGGCCCCTGTATTACATAGGTTTTTGGGGAATTTGCAGAGGCTTATAATTGGACCACGACCAACCACCTTGCTTGCGCTTCTTTCTTTCGCTGTTCTTGACCTGGAGACGACAAAGGGAACATCAGTGGGACGTCTTATGCATAACAGGGAAATTTGCGACAACCTTCCCCTGCCATGCCACGAAATGATTGGCAAAAGTAGGACAGTGTCCCAAGTGGGATGTTATCAGAGCTTTGGGTTCCGTCGCTGAAGCCCTACATCCCAAACCCGAAACCCCTAAACCCTTAACCCCAAGACCACTGTTGCTCTCCGCCTGCCTTCAGGCGCACCACACATGCAACACACATTTTGCGGCTCAAACTAGCATGGAAATCCCTGAAGGCCTGTTTTGGAAGGACACTAGCCTTTCTCAGGTTCCGTGCTACTGTGGGAGGAGTATACAATGTTAAGCCCTTATTCCTATGATAAGTGATATTGTCATTATGCTTGGTAATTTCTCTCCCCAAAAAGGAACCGCTAACTTTGGGAGACCCCCCTATATATATATATATATACATATTACTTCTATTATGTTCCCTACTCCGTCTTTCGGCTACCAGGGTTCATTCTGCAGGCTGCGCAGAAGCGCCTGGACTATGAATGGGGCGCTGAGCGGGAGGCGACTGGGTCAAAGACAGTCAGGTCGTTGGTTTAGGGTTCAGCGTGTAGGAGTTAGGTGTCCTTCTGGAGCAAGAAGAGAGCATCCGAAACCTGGAAAGGCTTGAAGGATTCCATTTTCTTTTCCATTATCCCTAAAACCCCTATATAACCCTGATATTTACCATTATATGCTTACCCCAGTATATCCCTAATATATCCCTATTTCCCTCAAGTATAGTTGGAAAGGCCATCCAAGGTTTGCGACACAATCCTTGTCTCGTGGCAGCTGCCACATTTGTTTAGCCGTGTTTTTTTAAAAATTTAAATATGTAAGGCACACTTGAAGAACGGTCCCAAGAGTCTATATAGGGATATACAGAGACATTACTCCAATAGTGGAAAAGAAAATGGAACCTGGAGATTATAGAGCCTCTAAACTTGATGCAGGAGTTGGCCCGCACCCGCGACGCGGCGGAGACGAAATCTCAGTCTTTGCAGAGGCAGGTTTTCGGGCTTTCTCAGGTTTGATCACCGTTTTGGGTTCAGGGTGCAACGTGGAGGGTTTTGGGATTGACATAGGGAGTTTCCGGGATTGTATAGGATAGTCTGGGGCATCCTTCAAGGGGCTGCTCGCCTGTTTTCTAGGGATTTCTGCAGCTGTTTGCCTTGAGCACCTGTTGCCTTTGAACTTGCCTGAGACCCCAGGCGTTTAGAAGCACAGAAACCTTCGAAGCACTCCTTTTCAGTTTCCATACATGTTTGGGGGAGTTCCGAAACTCTGCCACATATCCATTTCTTTGCCAGGTCGCTGGATGAAGCGCTGGAGAAAGGAGAGGAATTGGAGAAGAAATGCCTGGAGGCCAAGGTGTTTGCTCGAAGCCACTATCCAGGTGAATAGAAAGCAGCATGACATGGTAAAGTTCCTTGGAGCTCCATGCAACCCTATGACACCAATCTTGGAAAGCTTTTTTTCATTCGAACAGGTCAGCCTGATCCCCAGGGACAGTAGAAAATGAGGGCTCTTCAGAACCTAAACCCTAAACCCGACACCCTAAACCCTAAAGCGTAGGGTAGTGCTACGCTGCAAGTCTTCGAGCCTCCGAAGTAGCAGGCAGGGGTAAGTTTCAAACTATTTTCTTAATATTCGTTACTCTTAAACCTTTATAAAACTACTGCAACGCCATAACAAGCATATGATGTTGGTAGGGCCCCGAACCTACCCTTAATTCATGTATAATTATACAGCATACAAGCTTCAGTTTTATGGGACTCCCCCCAAACCGGTCCCCCGATTAGTGCCGAGCAAATTAGGCCTTGATCGCGCAGAGAAGCTGGAGCAGATGAGGCGGCATGTCAGAGGGAGGGAGTTTAGGGTTTAGGGTTGAGGGCTGAGGGTTTAGGATGTAGGGTTTGGGGTTTAGGGTGCAGAGTTTAGAGTTTAGGGTCTAGGGGCCCAAGGGTTTAGCGTTTACGGTTAGGGTTTTAGGGTTTTTGGTTTTAGGGAAGGTTAATACTTGTAATGGAAGTTATAATAGTAATAATAGTCATAATTGCATAATAGTAATATCAGCAAGAAGAGTAAGAACAGCAACATTAGTAACAATTATGATTTGTATGATGCTTAACAACTTGCATGGCCTTACTATACTGTAATGCTGTACCATAATTCTCAAGGTTGAGGCTACTTAGGGTCGTGCGGGACAGCAAGAAGGGTGCAGTCTTGGAAGTCCATCATTTAGATAGGCAGTTATTAAAACCCAACAACTTTCTTGTCATATCGCGCCGTGCTACCGCCTCCTGCAGATTTCCACAGCGGTCCGCAACCGTATGCAAGAGCATCACAACTCTCTTTTGAAACTCAAGCTCCACGCCCTGAACCGCGAATGGGAGTTTCGGCAAATGCGGCATCCCTTGTGGGCTGCTTGTGGGGTCGGTTAGAGAAGGAACCTTAACTCGTGTTTGCTGTGTATCCCTTGGGCTTCCCTAGCTTCAACAAGTCTCATGTTCCGGTGGTGGAGGAAGATCATGGACGAGCAGGAGTTCTGAACTCAGCGATCGAGAGCCTGCCAGCTTAACGCTGTTGATAGTGGTGATGGCTAGCACAGGTTCATGAGGCTCACAAGGTGTTCTTTCAAAGCCCCGCCGACAGGAACTGCTCTGACTTTCAGAAATGAGGTGTTTATAATAAATGGGAGAAGAGCAAGTTCATTAATAATGGTGTTGCCATGCAGTGAAGAGGGCCGTGCAGGTTTCCGGATGGAGTCGCGGTTTTAGTGTTTAGGGTTGAGGGTTTGGGGCTCTAGTGGTGCACAAATGTCAGCGTCTATGGAACCCGATGGGAAAGCACGCCACCCGTGCAGATGTTAGATGAGTACACCGTTTGACGTGAAGATCCCCTTCCATGTATGTAGCCTAAGAGCAGGAGGCAGGGTTAAACACTAAACCCTGAACCCCGTACCCTAAACCTTGTTTTCTCCGGAGGGTTGATGATTAATCCTGTGGGAATGCATTGGCATCTCTGAAATGCAAGTCCAATCGTTTTTATAAAAAAACAATGTTGGCTGCTTGTGAATTGTTTTTATAAAAACAATTCACCGCAGCCAGCTTTGAAGTCGCTCAGGCTAGAAATGAGCCAGAAGATCGAACGTGTGCGCCTCCCAAGCTGACTTCCTTCCCCGGGCTTAGGATTATATGGGGTTTATGTAGGGATTATATACGGGTTATATAGGGAGTATATAGGGGCCATATTGGGATAATGGAAAAGAAAATGGAAACTACTATTTAGGGTTTAGGGTTTATAGTCCCCCTTAAGTAGATAGAATATGTGGTATATGGGGGGTTATATAGGGATAATGGAAAAGAAAATGGAAACTACTATATTATAATAGGGTACAGGTTGCGGGTTATAGTCCCCCTTAAGTAGATAGAATATGGATTATATAAGATCCCCATATATCCCATAGTCTATCTACTTAAGGGGGGCTGAGGTTTAGGGTTGAAGTTCCTGGATTCCACTCTCTTTGTCTACGTTCATCTACGTTGTAAACCCATCCCTGGGAAGGAATTTTGCTCCGCTGGGTGGAGGTCGTGTGCAATTTGATTGTAAACCTGAACATTGTGATCATGGCTACCATCTGCTATAGTCCTGATTCATGGTGGTGATGATGATGATGCTTACCATGATGTTGATGATGCTGATCATGATGATGACAGTGATTTTGATGATCATCATCATTATCATTATCATTAGCATCATCGTGAGCCACTCCAAATGCGTGTAGGCACATCTCATAGGCCTTGCATGACGGCGCTGTACAACATCATCCTCACTTGAAGGCGCAGGGTTCTCAAAGAGTCAAGGGGTGGTGATACAAGTTCAGTGGCGTTCTGCGTCTTCAGCCCTAAGCCGTAAACCCAAAGTCAAGCCCAAAAACCTTTAACCCTGGAACCCCAAAGCCTGGAATTCCAGACCCTGAAAGCCTAATCCCTGCAACACAAAACCCTGAAACCATGCAACCCACGCTGCTGATGTACAAAATCCGAGCATGAGCCTGAGCACATCATGATATCACAATTTATGGTTCTAGGTTATATGGGGCCGTGCCGGAGTTTGTCCATTTGCGCAGGTTCGCTTCACAACTTACTCCTCCCTCTCTGCTCCTTCTCCCGCTGAACTCACAAACATCAAAATCCTAACTCTTCACCCTAAACCCTGGAACCACTAAACCTAAATCACAGGTACAGCACTACGTGAAAGAAAGGCAGGCTACTGCCTTGATGGCCGAGAAGAAGCAGCAGGAGCTGGGTAGAGGGAAAGGGGGGTTTATGGGTAGCGGTTTAGGGGTTTGGGGTTTAAATGTTTAGGGCTTGGGAGTTTAGTTGTGACTGGAGATTGCACCCGCGTGCAACGTTACAGCATATATGGATGGCAGTTGTGAAAACCCTATATATGCCCAATATACTGTCGTACTTTCCATTTTCTTTTCCATTATCCCTATATTACCCTTGTATAACCCCAATATATTATAGCAGCTTCCATTTTCAAACATATACATCCCTACAAGGGGTTTTGAAGCCCGGAAGCCGACAACCCTAAACCCCAAACCCCTTAACCCTAAAACCCTAAAACCCTAAAATCCCTAAACCCTAAAACCCTAAAATCCCTAAACCCTAAAACCCTAAGATCCCTAAAACCCTAAACCCTAAAACCCTAAAATCCCTAAACCCTAAAACCCTAAAATCCCTAAACCCTAAACCCCTGGTTGCAGGATGCCGAGAAGATGGCGGAGAGGTGGCAGAACGAGGTCCGGCGGTGCCAGGCGGGGCCTATTGGGAATATGTTGGGAGAATGGAAAATAAATTGGAAAGTACCCAATCTATAGTCTTAGTCTCACAGTATGAGTGCTTCTTGGGGTGCAGGGTTGGGGACTTGTTTTCAGTATTCCTTTCTCTTGGACTCCAGGATTTATAGGTTAGGGTTAACTTTTCGCTTGGCATTTCGTGGTTGCAGCGTTGGGTGTAATGAGGGTGTTGGTCTCAATCTAGCCAGAAGAGGTCCTTTACCTCGTTCTTGCTGCCAATAGGGTGCCCCAAGATGGAACACTTCATGATCCAGGTGTTCGGGGCTTGGGGTTAAGGGTTTAAGGTATAATCCAGTAGTTGTTTATGAGGTTTTGGTGTCTGGTGGTTTTAGCCTAGGACCCTGATTGCAGCGAGTGTTGTTGCGAATCAGCGACATTCCCGGGTTGACTTTTTCGGTACACAAGTTGATGGATTCGGGCGGAATTGCAGTATCGTCATGTTCCCACATCTCTCCAGCCTGACTTTGTTGCAACTTTTCGTTAACGTGCTTTCATAAAGTCTTTAGCTACCCCGAGGAATTGTGGAAGTTTTGTGGCTGCTGTACCGGGTCCAGTTAAATACCCGAACCCTTCACTGCGCCTTGAATGAAACTGCTAGCCAGCAGCGGCACACCATCGAAACCTGGTACTGAGACCGTTCGCTGAGAGTAGACACGCTCCATAAAATGAAGGCCCTCACTGGGTTGCAGTTGGGGTAGCGGTTGTCAAGGGTTTGGGACTTACCATTCTTTGGGATTTTTTTTTCAATGGTTCCTGTGTTTTGCGCAAAGGAATCTCTTATCATCCTGTTCTCACCTCCACATGTCCACGTATCCCTAGAATTCCATGAAAAAATCTAAGCCCTAAACCTGACGCCTACACTACATCCCAAGCCCGAGCGGCTAATCCCCAACCTCTAAGCCCTGAACCCCAAACCCCAAACCCCTCACTCCCCAGATTCCTCCGAGGCAGAAAAAGAGCGCTTGGCATCGGCAGTGCTGGAGATGGAAGGCCTTGACATCTGCGAGTTTCTCACAAAAAGGGTTAGGGTTTAGTGTCTAGGGTTTAACGGAGGGGCCACTCTAAAGAGGTTAGGGTTTTAAGCTTTGGGTTTGTTTTTGGGCAAAATCTTGGGTGTAGGGTTTACGGGTTAGGGTTTAGGATTTCCCCAAGGAATTATTTTGGGGATATGTACGGATTTTCGGGAGATGTTCAGGATCCTCTGTAAGCATTGTCCACACATCCTTCTTGAGTACAGGACAGTGACTTATCGTTTAGGGTTTGAGCTGCGCTCATTTCGGATAATTTTGCAATTGGATGGTGGCGTGAAGCAGCTATGGAGATCATGCGAGCTAATTGTGTGGTCACGTGTGCTGAATCGCGGGTCACGGCAAACGTGTTACACATCAGACTTCCAGCTGTTCTCCTTTGCCCCCCCAAGGGGATTCGTTGACAGAGTTGATCAGGTTTTGCGGCAGAAACGTCAGGTTCCATACACCCGTTACTCTCGGCAATGGGCTTCAGAAGATTGGTTGACGCCCCGAGCAGCGCATGGACAGTTGGAAAATGGGTGAAAATGGGTCTAGGGTTTGGCAATCCTTAAGCTCTAAACCCTCAACCCTAAAACCTGAAACCTTCACCTCGGCCCGCCAGAATTCCGTTTTCAGAGCAGTGTTATTGAAATTGGCAATCACTTGAGCCCGCGATATAAAACCCCGTTTCCATTTTCTTTTCCATTGGATTCCCTATTATTCGGAGTCATGTCCCTGTATAGCACCTATATTATGTAGATATTACATATCCCGATAAGTTCAATTCTTAAACTGCAGCGTCTAAGCAGATGCCTTCCACTCTTCCAGCCAGTGATTGCGAAATAGTCTTATTCCGTTCTGTTGAACCTACTTGCAAGTTCATCAAGTTCATCTCTGCTTACTGATTGTTAGTAGGGAAAAAGAAAAGTTAATCCCTATGTAACCCCTACATACTATAGTCCCTTCTTCCCTACTACTCCCCAGTACGCCTATGCAGTTTCCCGGTAGCACTCTCTATACCTCCAAGTTTTGCAAATACCCAAAACCCTAAACTTCGCTGATTCCCTGGTTCTAAGCCGAAAGCTGCAAAGAAATAAGTTCAGTCCTGCAAGCATGGTTACTTAGTGGTGGCTGGTAGGGAAGAAGGGAATATTATATATATATACACACATAGTTTAGGGTTTGGGGTTAGTAGCGAAGAAGGGAATCTATTATAGAGGGATTGTATTCCCTAATTCCTTACTAGGAACCAGTAAGGTTATGTTGTTTATGCACGACCCTGGCCACACCATTCTTGCGCAACTACAGGTGTTTGGGGAGGTCTAAACCCAAAACCCCGAAGTCTTGCAGGATTATCTTCGTCCTCAGCAAGAGAAAGCTCAAATCATTATCTGTTTCTTTGTCCTAGTTCCTTGCAATGTACCCCTACCTTTGCAGTACTCTAAACCCCAAAAACCGAAACCCTAAACTCCAAAGCCTAAACCCTAAACCCTAAACCCCAAACCCTAAACGCTAAACCCCAAACGCTAAACCACAAACCTAGTTCCCATCACTGGCCTTGATGGGAGGCCAGCAAAGCGGCCAGGCCCAACAGCTCCAGGGCACCGTGGATCAGCACCGCCGGCAGGCCTTTTGGCCTTTTCAGGGTTAGGGTTTAGGGATTAGGGTTTAGGGTGTAGGGATTAGGTTTTAGAGATTAGGGTTTTGGGATTAGGGTGTAGTGTTCACGGTTTAGGGATTGGGGTGTAGTATTCAGGGTTCATGGATTGGGGTGTTAAGGTTTAGCGATTAGGGCTAGGAATAGGGGATAGGGGTTTGGGGATTACCTAGGGCTTGGGGTTTAGGGTTTAGGGTGATGGGTGGGTTTAAGGTTTAGGGTGCAGGGATTAGGGTTTAGGGCTGGGTGGCTGCAGAAAATGTGGGTCCGCGAGGGTCTCAAGGGGTTTACCGGAGTTATAACGGGATTGTATCGGATTGTGAGCATCCTTCCTGGGGATTCTGTGAGGTTATTAAAAGACACACCTTGATGGGTAGGTTCTAAAACCGAGGCCCGCGTTTGTACTCCAAATTTGCAGTTGGTACACCTCCCAAAAAACTATTCATGAATCTGAGAACAGCCCAGGCCAGCAGCATTGCAATGCGAGGAAGAGTATAGTATAGATTTTAGGCTGTGCAGGTGTAACAGAGTTGGGCTCTTGGAGAGTTGGGACATAGTATAGGGTGCAAGGTTCTTGCTTACAGATGCATGCTTGCATTTGAAGTTCAGGCTAGTAGCACGTTGAACCGGTTATCAGCACAAGCACGACCGGAAAGGTCTGCACGGTGAAAAAACCACTATCACAATGAAATTCTCATGACATGACACATAACATTCCCTAAATCGCAAATCTTCAGCGCAAGCTCTACAGTGCCCCCCCGAAGTGGCTAGGCACTCCCTGTCAGAATCGGATGCGTGAAGAAAATTCTTGAATATGATGAGGACTGAGGATAGGCCTCCTAATTAACAGTACCCTGACATGGTGATCATGCATATACTAGGGCACGTTTTAGGGCTTGTTCTCAGGTTTTAACCACAGGGCTGACTTCCAAGAAGGGGCAAGCGCTCACCTTCCAGGATTCGCGGGTGTCATATCAATCAGGATTTCTTGTTGAGTTGAGGAAGCGCAGAGCAGGCGCTAATATCGCCGTGCTGCCTAGGAGCACTGTCATCCTGAATTCGCTTGAGAAACGTCAGGAAGGCGTCAGCGATGTTCCTACATGGCTCTCTCAGAGCACCACTCCTCTTTCGGCCCCCTCCACCCTCCACCCGAGAAAGGACCATAATTTCGGCAACCTCCTGCATGAAGTGCCAACTGCCGGAGGTCGCAACCCTGGAAGATGCACTGCGGAGGATGCGTCACTCTTTGGGGTTCGAAGTGATGTGGACCCCAGGGTTTACGTGAAGGTTCAGGAGACATGAGTCACTCACTACTTGTAAGTGGGCCTCTGGCCCCACAAGTCAATCTCATAATCCCTACCCCGCCTAGCATAGCTTCCCCAGCTATCACAGGGTTATGACTCGTGACCAGATTCCTACGCTATTGCTAGGTCCCGTCCATAACCTTCAAATCCCATGTGCATGAATGGGGTTAGGTCCTGTAAGACGACCAGGGGTAACAAGACAGAAAGAGGGCAAACGTAGCAATCACAAGGTCAGTGAACGTGCGAATGCTTCGAGTCCATCTCCCGTAAAATTGGTCTCATGCAGGTCCCCGACTTGGGTTTGTATTGCAATGCGAATCCTCATGGAGGCAACGTCGGGTATATGACAGAGACTGAGACTGCTTTCCGCGACAACCCCCCCAACTAGCCTTTTGCACAAATTGTTCAAATGCGACAAAGGGTATGTAACACGATGGCGTATCAAGGGGTATGTAACGGAGGGGTTTGGGCATGGAACGCAACAACACGGTTTTCGGCACGTATCTAACTTTGAATCTCCTCCGTTTCAGGATTTGTCATTTATTTGCACAAAGCCGCTGGAAGCCCCATGTCAACAGTGTATTCGGAGGCCCCAGCAGGCAAAGAAGCAGGAGGAAAAGACATGGGGATGTGCGGACGGAAGGCAATCCTCTTTTAGATGACAGCCCTGCGCAAGCACTTTCTGTGTATTAGGGTTATATTGGGGTTATATTGGGGTAATATAAGGGTTATAATATTGGGGTTAATATTGGGGTAATATTAGGGTTATATTGTGTGTTCCTCAAAGCCAAGGGCCCCCTTAAGTACTCCTGTGGCCCTGTAGTAGGGACCCAGAAAACCCCAAAAGGAACTGAGCCATTCTAGAGGCCTGCCCTTGGATCCGAAACCTCGAACCCTAAACCCCTAAACCCGTAGTTTCCATTTACTTTTCCATTATCCCAATATAACCCAATAAAACCCCAATGTAACCCCAATATAACCCTAATATTACCCCAATATAACCCCAATATAGCCCTAATATTAACCCTCCCAATATAACCCTAAAATTAACCACAATGTTATAACCCTAATATTCATCTTCTGAAGGAAGGAAGGCGAGATGCGGGAGCAGAACCTTGAGCTGCTGTCTCGCCGCGATGAGGACAAGCTTAGGGTTTAGGGTTTAGGGGTTAGGGTTGAGGGTTTAGGGTTTAGGGTGAGCATAGGAGCATGGAGTCTAGGGTACATAACTGGGCTACGTAGTTCTGGAGGACCATCACAACGAGATGGCTGGCTTGATGACTGAAATTGGAACACAAGCCATCCAAATCTGGCCCGCTACTATAGTAAATTGGGCTATATTAACTCAATATACTATAGTAGTTTCCCTTTTCTCTTCTATTATCCCTATATAGTATAGGGATAGCGGAAGAGCAAATGGAAACTACTAGAGTACATTAGCATATATCTTTTCAGTTGCTCGAAAGCAGAAGACAGCCCGGTATTTGGAGTAATTTCCCCTTGCAGGAATTTCTGCAAGAGGAGCTGGACTTTATAGTTGTCCCTTCGTAAATTTCGCCGAGGCTTGGTACTGTGGGGTGAATGATCCACACAGTAACCGACCTGTCATATTAAGTTTTCACTATCTCTTAACTTTTCGGACCTTTTGCTCGGGGGGGGGGGCCTTGCAATGTGAGCTATAGTCTAAACTCCTAGTATCCCCTGTAACAGCCCCTAGAAATTCTAGTCCCGTAGTATCCAGTTTAAGGAGTTTAGACTTTATCTCATATGCGCCATAATCTAAACTCCTTAAAGGGGGATTATATAGGGGATTATATATGGGAATACTACAGGGGTTATTAAGGGGGATACTAGGAGTTTAGACTATAGCTCATATGGCAGCTTCCAAGCCAGGAGTCCCCCTTCTCGTCGACCCCAACAGATTGTAATCTGCGTTTTTGAAACCCGAAAAAAAGGGGGACCCATAATTTAGGGTTTTAGGGTTAAGGGTTTAGGGTTTGGGGTTTTAGGGTTTAGATTTTGGAGTTTTAGGGTTTTACCACCCCCTCCCCCCCGCATCCTTTCACAGCAGCCCTAGAGACCCCCTCCGGCCCTACAGGGACGGCATCAAACCGACTGGAAGCCTTAATCATTTAAACGCGCAGCAAACAGGCACCCCAAAGCCCCAACATCTCCCAAATTAAGCCCTCAAGCCCTAAATCTGAGATATCCTAAGCCCTAAACCTAAGATCCTCGAACCCAAGCCCTAAACTCTAGACCCAAAACCCTAGAACTTTGGAACCCCAAACCCCTAGAACCCTCAACCGCTTCAACCAAAACCCGTCAGGAGTACCAAGCCAAGGTCACCATGGCTGCATGCGGTTGACAATGGTAATAATTAACTACTATAATATAATAGGGTATATATTGGGATATATATTGGAGTTATGTTGGGACAATGGAAAAGAAGATGGAAACTACTGTAGTATAATAGGGTAATATACAGCCTGCATGAGCTTAGTCTAGTACCATTTATGGCTTCATAGGGATTTTAATACGGATTTCATGGAGGTTGGGAGAGGATTATATAGGGATGAGATAGGCATTCGATAAGGATTATATCGGGATTAGATAAGGACAATATAGGGATTATATAGGGTTTAGCGGGTTTTCCCCCAATAATGGAGGACGAGAGGGAAAAGAACATGGAACATTACATGGAAACTGGGACGGTGTAGAATGGACATGAAAAGGGAAACCAACACATTATCTTCGGTTTGGGGTTCGAAGGTTTAGGGTAATTTGGGTCATGAAAGATTTTCAGTCCCGAACCCCAAACCCTGAACCCTCAGTGGGCAGACCGTGGGGGTTAGGATGTTGGCCAACATGATTGCCTCCCTTTTTTGAGCACTGCAAGTCTTAGAGGCCGAGCCAAATGATTTAGGGTTTAGGGTTCTGCCAGAGACCCAAAAGGGGATCGAAATTGTGACGACTCATATGTGAAGCTGGCATTCTTCGGATACCGTAGGAACCCTCAAAAACATATGGGGATTACCGCGGGCTTATTCTACAGGTCACTAGGAGGTACTTAAGCTTGGGGTAACTCGAAAATTTTCATTTCTCAGAGTTACAGTTTGGCTGTTGGGGTTTGAGTTGTGGAGTTTTTATTGACCCCAACCTGCAAACAGCACATTTTCTGACCATTTTAAGGGGTTTCCGGGGCTGGTAATGGCATGAGGAGTTTGAAGGAGTGATGTTTCCAATCATTCAGGCTCATCTGCCATGGCGAGAATGCTGTGTGGCATCCTCATCGGTAGGAAACCGGCAACAGGGCCGCCTTAGCATGTTCAGAAACTTCCTGCACCTTGAACGTGCAGCCCTAAACCATAGCTACCTTTTGTGAAAGCTTGGCATTACTAAATAGCTCGTGCTAGCCTGGTGTATGTTCACAACGTCTACAATACTCCTTTTGCATCCAGTGGTACTACCCATATCAGCTATAGTCTTAAACTCCTAGTATCCCCCCATAATAACCCCTAGAGTCGTCCCCTATGCCCCTTTTCAGGAGTTTAGACCATAGCTCATGTGTTTCCAACATCAGAATATGACACGGAAACAGGAATCTGGGGTGGGAAGACATGTGAGTCTTTAAAAAATGGCACAACGCCTTTTCTGACGAGTATCACGTCACTTTCCTGTCAACTCCAGAAATCGCCAGAGACCTTAAGGCTTTAAGAGCGTATAAGCACAAAAAAAAGTGTCTGAACCCAGGCCCAACAGCCTTGAACCCCAAACAGCAAGGCCCAAAAGTAAGCCTTGCAACCCTAATCCCTAAACCCCTTGAAAGGCGGCCACCTTCCTTAACAATTCCCCAAGTCGCTCAGACGCAAGATTTTCAATATGTACCCAAGAAAGGGTTTAGGGTTTAGGGTTTAGGCATAGCTCTAGATTTCCCTCAAGCCCATCTAAAGGGACCCCTTTGTGAGAAAGGTCACCCTGGAGAAGCAGCGGGAGAAGGAGCGGTCCATCGCTTTGCTCAAGAAAAAGGAGCAGGAGGTCGCTGCGTGGGGTTTGGGGACTAAAGCGGGCAGCGACCTACATGATTCCCAATCTTTTGGGCTTAGGTGCCTTATGTCATTAGGGTATAGGGTACCTCAATCAGGTCTCAAATGATAATGGTAACAATTTAGGCAATCACAGTAGAGTTTGAGGGTTTGAGGGTTTTGAACGTTCAGGATACTCTGGAGGCCTGGATGCGAAAAGGGTGTTGCTGACAAGAGAGACCTACAGCGCTGTGGCAGCCATTACCATTCTTTAGGTTTAGAGTTAAGAATTCTTACTCCCCTGATCATTATCATGGTTACTGTTATTGAACATTGCACGGATAATAATTGTTGATAAAGAGATTGAGTCAAATCAAAGCACTAGAACGCCATGGCCTGAGAAGTGAAGCGCTAGGAAGCCCCTGCAACGCGCAAGCTCCATCCCTCATACTCTATCTACTTTATAGCTTCCTCTAATACTATATACGCCCCGGCCAGCCCCTAGTATTGAGTATTTCCTATAAGAGCCAGTGTAAGAGCCAGTGTATGTTACGAGACGCATTTAATGTGATGAAGTGGGGTATGCGTTTAATGTTAAATGGGCGGTCCGATCGACAGCGTCCAAGGGGTTAGAAGGCTAAGAGACGTCATGCAGTCCCCGTTCTCCCCCATCGGTATTCCATTGATTCTACAAGGACACAGCAAATTTGCAAGTAGATTTCCCCAAGTTTTAAGCCCTTAAGTTCCAACAGAAATCGCATTGACTCCCTATATCCTTTCATGGTCATTATTTTTGTGGGATCCTGGCCCCCTCCCCTCCAACCTTCATCTCTGAGCCCTAATCCTGCAGCCCTGAGCCCTGAAACCAAGGTCCTAGAAAAAGCCCCAAACCCTAAACCCTGAACCTGAAGCCGGGCCTAAATCTTAAATTGTAGTTTCCATTTTCTTTTCCATCATCCCAATATGTTCCAACGTAACCTTCAATATTACCCCAAGGGGTACCCTAAACCCTGAAATCAAGGTCCTGAACCCTAAGCCCTAAGCCCTAGGCCTCAAGCCCTTATCGCTGAGAACCCTAGACCCTCAACCCGAACCCTAAACCCGGTTTGAACGCTATGGCCGCTCTTTGATTCCAGCTTCCAGTACGCTTTCTGTACTCTTTACCATTTGATGCTGTATTATTCAAGCTATTTAGGTTCCTGAACACAGTGCTACTTTGGTAGTTTCCGCTTTCCTTTTCCATTGCCCTTCATAACCCCTGTATCCTTTCTACATAGTCCCCATCCACAACCCTTTTACAAGGTGCAGATCAAAGACCAGCAGCTGCGGGCAGCAAAGTTACGGATTCAGGAGCAGAGCTCGGATACCTCTCCGGATGATGGCTGTTCAGCTGTTTGGAAGGATCCAATAGATGCAACCTCCTAGGAATCCCCCAGTTTCCCCAATGTAGTACTAGAGCAATTTCGAGAGGGTTCCATCTTTTGGAGATTCTCATGGGTCTAGGGCAGATTTGGCATTAAAGGTCATGAGGTCTCGGTGCCGGGATGTTTACAGGGTCCAGCGTCTAAGACTCAGGGGTTCGAGTGTAGTGATTGGGGGCATCGGCACCAAGAACCCTCGGCAAAGTGACATCTCGGGGCTGGATCCTCTACCTTACGGGTTCCTAGTAGGGAATATGTGAAGTACATGCTGCATCGTCCCCTTGATAGCTGTCAGAAAATTGCATCCAACATTTTCAATACCAGTACAGGCTAAGACGCAAGTTTGCGGATGAAATCCGGTTTAAGGCTAGGGGTGTCGTTTCTATGCAAGATTTCTTGAACCCGACGACCCATTGATGCCTACGTTTTTCCCAAGTAATGAATAATGCTAGTAGTAGTCGTGGTCTACTACTACTACTACTACTACTACTGCTGCTGCTGCTGCTACTACTACTACTACTATTACTGCTGCTGCTGCTTCTACTACTACTACTACTACTGCTACTTCTACTTCTACTTCTACTTCGACTTCTACTTCTACTTCTACTTCTACTTCTACTTCTACTACTACCACCAGATTGTCGCGTATTTGATGGTGCGTTTTTCTTTACTTCATGCGCGTTTTATGGTGGTTTCGTGCTTGTTTTAGGATTTCTGGGGGGAAGAGGCGCCTGGCTTAGTATTTGGTTTTTCGTGTTCCTTGAAAATGTGCGTTTCATGATGGTTTCGTGCTCATTTCACGGTTTTTTAAGGAGGCTGGTTTTGTTCATTTTTCGACATCTACCGATGTTAGATTTTGTCAGATGCGGCTTAGCTTTTGGCTACGCCCCTCTAGTCCAAGGGTTTGAGGAGTTCTGACTTGATTTTTCATCGCCCCATTAGTCCAAGCTAC